TTCTCAATTGTCATTTTTCTTTGCTTTGCTCTGTGAAATACTTAAATTGATGATTGTTGTGCTCTTATTCTGTAAACATATTAATAATAATAATAATAATAATAAAAGATTTATACCGCGCCAGTATCCTACTGTTCAAAGGCGCCTACAAGAAAAAAAAAAAAAAACTTAAACATTAACACTTAAGACAGCTAATATTAATTATAAAAGGCTTTTCTAAAGAGTAAAGTTTTTAATCTACGTTTAAAAACAGACACAGACTGAGCATTTCTAATTTCACTTGGCAAAGCATTCCATAATGATGGTGCTGCTACAGAAAAGGATCTTGCGCCATATGTTTTCAAGTTATAGGATGGAGAAACCAGAAGGTGCTTGAATGATGAGCGTAGTTGACGCGATGGGGTGTAAGATGTAAGCAGATCACAAATGTACGACGGTGCCAGGTTGTTAAGTGCCTTGTAGGTTATAAGTAAAATCTTAAAAATAATACGTTGGTTAACGGGAAGCCAATGAAGATTGAAAAGAACAGGCGTGATGTGATCATGTTTTTTTGTAAGTGTGACAAGGCGCGCCGCGGCATTCTGTACGTGTTGTAGCCTTTTTATAGCGTAGGCTGGTAGGCCATACAAAAGGGAATTACAGTAATCCAGCTTCGAAGATACAAACATATGAACCAGCAATTCAGTAGTGGTCGCTGAAAGATATTTCCTGATATAGCTAATATTTCGCAAATGATAAAATGAAGATTTACAAATGTCAGTAATATGATCCTTAAAGCAAAAATGGCTGTCGAACATAGTGCCGATATTCCTCGCCTTTTGCACGGAAGGAATAGTCTCACCAGCAACTGAAATTTCGTGAAGGAGTGGTCTTGGAAGATGTTTAGCGGAAATTACCAATAATTCAGTTTTGTCTTTATTTAATTTAAGACGATTAACCATCATCCAATGACTGATTTCATCCACACAGCTCTCGATGCTTGAAACCGCAAGATCTCTATCACCCAGTACGGTTGGTTGGAAAGACAAGTAAAGCTGTGAGTCGTCAGCATAAAAATGATAGCTCAGGTTAAATTTCTTTACGATATCTGAAAGCGGTGAAGTATAAAGCAAATACAAAATGGGTCCCAAAACCGATCCTTGTGGCACTCCTTGCAACCATAATAGAGGCTTCCCAGCTATCCCAAACCGTACACGTAAACGAGAGAGGAGGATGGTATGATCGACTGTATCGAAGGCAGCGGAAAGGTCTAACAACAGCAAAATTACGATTCGACGATTATCGATGGCAGAAAGAATATCATTGTGAACACGAATAAGTGCAGTTTCAGCACTGTGATATTTCTTGTACGCCGACTGGAATGTCTCATTTAACTCATAATCGTTAATGTAGGAGATAAGTTGATTAGCTACCAATTTTTCAATTGCTTTGCTAATAAATGAAAGATTCGATACCGGACGATAATTGCAGAATTGAGTATGATCCAAAGAAGATTTCTTAAGGAGCGGGCGTAACATTGCAACCTTGAGTTGCGAAGGCATCTGACCAGATTCCAATGAGATATTTATGATTTTGGAAATGAAAGGCAACAGAACACTAAGTGCATTTCTTGTAACATAACCAGGAAGAGGATCAAGAGCACATGACTTAGCAGCCAGATTCATGATACATGTATGAACTTCATCCGCTGTTACCATTTTGAAAATATCAAAAGAATGTGGACAGGCGTTGTCAACAACAGCAACTGTATCTCGATGAGGGAAAGCAGCAGTCGTTATATGACCCCGTATTCTATCTATCTTTGTAGTGAAGTACTTAATAAACTTGTTAGCAAGATCAGTGGGCGATTTGCAGGGGGGATATTGAATATCTGTTTTCCTTTGTAGTAGTTTATCAATTATCTTAAAAAGCTGTTTATAATTTGACTGATTCTCATTGATTAATGATGCGAAATAATTCTTCTTGGAATCACGAATTAAGTTGTTGACAGCATCACATCCCTCAATAAACAACTTACGATCAGAAGGAAGTTTTGTCATTCGCCAGCGTCGTTCAAGTTTTCTACGGGATCTCTTTAAAATATTTATCTCCTCAGAATACCAAGGTGCAGCGGGACGCAAAGTAACTAACTTTTTTTGCAGTGGAGCATGAGTCTCAAGTATGGTAGTAAGGACTCTGTTATATTGATCAATCAAATAATCCAAGGATGACGATGACGAGGCAAAAAGATCAGGAAGGCTCGAATTCATAACATCAGCACAGAAATTATCAAAATCAATAGATCGAAGCTTTCTGAATGAAATAATCTTCTTGTCGAGCGGCGGCTTATTAAGCGAGAGCTGGAAGTGAACAGCAGCATGATCAGAGATGACAAAAGGAGAACCAATTGTTAAATTTGAAACAATACTATCATCAGATCTTGTAATCACAAGATCTAAGGTGTGTCGATCTTTATGCGTTGAGCCATGTGTATGTTGAGTAAGATTGAAAGAATCCAACAATTGAAGAAATTCAGTTGAGTGTTGGGAAGAACAGGTGTCAACATGTATATTAAAATCACCAACTAATAATATTCCACCGGGATCAGCGATATAGTGCTCCAGGAACGTAGAAAACTCATCAAGGAACAATGAGGGTGTTAAACCATTCAAGGTCGAGGGAGGTGGGCGATAAACAATAATAACTCTGAGTTTTAAACCGACTGTACTTGACAATAACAAATCCATATATTCAAAGGACAAAAACTTCTTGAGCGGCTGCAACTTTAAGTTGAAAGATGATCGAAATAACAAGCCAACTCCTCCTCCACGAGTAGAACCAGGTCTAGGAACATGATGAAATGAACCAATTAACCAGTTACACCTTTATATCAGTATGCATATTCTTCCTACTATTCTCAATTGCACAAGGAGAATTTGGGTTTCGATCGCAGCTTTTTAGTTTGGCATTTATTTTCTTTATTTCCATGGTCTTTATAATAAATATTTCAGCAAAATTACTTTAAGGAGAAATTAGATACTTGTCTCTCTAAGGATTAAAAGGGTTAAAAATAAAACATGACACAAAGCAGCTTTGTGTTAACTCTGACTGTGCTAGAATACCAGTACTTATAAGTTTGGGAGAAATTATAACCAACAACTTTGGTGCTTCTTTGAAGGAGAGTCTCCCCTTTCAAGCTTTGCTACAGGTTTAAGAGTTTTTTTTTTGTTTCAAGCCAAAAGCTCCCTCAATTGTAGAATAAGCTACCAATGAGATTTTACTACAGAAAAATCTTAGTTATAAATCAGTAACTGCTAAGAAAAAAACACTTAGTGAAGTCCTCAGTGATCAAGTAGCCTTAATTATAAAACTGGTTTCAAAGACTTCATAAGGAGATCCCCTCTAAGTCTTGCAAGTACCCAAAGTATTTTTTTGTGTAGAATATGTTCAAACATCCTTATTTTCACCCCTCACACAGAAAAGATTTTGTTTGGAATCCCCTCCCCCAGTCCCTCAGAAGAGATATAATTCCTCTATATATACACTTAAGCTTTAAAAATGCTCACCCTATCCCATCCCAAGTGGTCCTCCAGGGGTGGGTGAGGAAATTTCCTGGAGCTGCAAACAGTGGACAGGTTTTCAGTTCAACTTCATTCTGTGGCAATTCAACTCCCTTCATGCAGATCCCAGGTTTACTTAAGGCCAGTGATGTTCCACTGTGTAGGCTCAACAGGGAAGGAATAATGGAGCGAATTTAGAAATAAGCTGCACACCAAGAATGTCAAGATCCCTGCCCACTAAGAGTGATAAATTTCACTGTACGCTTTCAGTCTTTGCATGCCTCTGTATGCTTCAGTATCTCTCTATGAAGGTGCTCCCTTCTCCTGGAAAGAAGGTTGACCAGGCAAACAAACTAATTGCCTACTTGGCAAGCATTGTTATGAAATCTGCTTCCTCCTTGTTATTGATTGAATATCCTTGGTTTCGACAAGCCCAATGTTTTTCACTTGACCTCAGGGCTTAATTATCAATAATTTGATTACAACATCAAAGCCCCTGTACAACGTGCAAATTATTAGTTATTAGAAAAAGAATCTGAATCTCAATGTTACTAATAATAATAATATCAGTCAAGGATCGTGATAGCTCTTCTCTTATCCAGTACTGTACTTAAGCTGAACAATAACCTAAACCCTGGCTGACATTCTTTATCCAGATACTTTCATCGTCTAACAGAGTCACAGGACACCCAGGTTTTAGATAGTTTTCCTCCCGATTGTAATTACGAATCAAGGGCCGTGAATGCAAAAAAAACATTTGTCAATCCTTGAAACTTAACCTGAACAATTCAACGATATCTATAAATCTAGAGGGAGCTGGTGAATTGTGTGGGAATTACACCTCAATTTACGCTATCAGTTCATGGTTGCACTCACAGTCCACCGTTGCTACTTTTTCACCACTCAGTCTTTATCATCGTTGAAGCACAGGAAACGAGAAACGAGCGTTTTCTACCTGAATTTCCAAGTTCGCTTCTTTCTGGCTATGCTTTGAACACGCAGACTGGACACGGCCGCGAAAGAGACTTGGTACGAGGTCAATTTTCTCTCTACCGCGAGTGGTACGGTCGATTAATGTACAATACTTACCCCATCCCCACAGAGACACCTCGCCTTAACGTATTGTCATAATTAACCAATCAGACAGCGAGTTGAAACTAAAACAGATAAACAACGGACAAAATTTGAATATTCTGCGGGGTTTGCTGTGCTCTGTTTCCAGCGAAATGCGCGCGAAGTTTTGGTATTGAGACATGTCCCAGGGTGCAGTGATCTTAGATCGTAAAGTGTGGCTGAGAAAAATGCCGATCGGGAGAATTTTCGGGGCGCAAACCACCTCCGCGTGGACCACGGTCGAAATCGGAGTGTGCAGCCTTGACTGCGTCTTTTGACATGGATAACAGTGATGGTAAAGCAAGCTTAAAACGGCAGAAATCACCAGAAACTACGACGGATACACAGGGCATGAGTAAGTTTTATTGATTTTCGTGTAAATATTCATATTTCGAAATATTTATTGTTGTAAATCGACCATATTTCGTTCCCCATACTATTCCTTAAAACGTGTTCAAATTTTCAACGGTTCCTCCCGTAACTAAACATCGAGTCACACAACGCGTGACGCGTTCATGAATTCATCGTTGGCTTTTTGAGACGTGAGCTTGGGCCGCCTGTAGTTGAAGTAACAATCAAAACGTCTCGTGCCATTTACAGCGCAAAGTGGCGTGTGTTACCCGCAATTTATGTAAAAGAATGTGTGGGTGCATTTCCCAAAGGAACGAAGGAAATATGATCCCATTTGGCACTTGAATTAAACGGCTCTTGATGCCCCCCGATGCTCCTCGGTGAACCAAGCCTGAATATGGAGCAAGCAAGCTACTTTTAACTGTCCTCCATGTTAATGATGGTATTCGAATTCATGTGAGTTGAGATTTAACAATTGGTTCATATGTCAGCGTGCGTTCATCGAGATATGAAGCACGCGGGAAGTTTGGAGAGCACGAAAGATGCGTAAGAGTTTCTCGAGGCTTCTTGAGCGCTCTCCAAACTTCCCAAGGGCTTCATATCTCGATGAACTTACAGCTGACGTAAGAGCCAATTGTTTTATAACATTTTCAACCTACAGGAAAATTTTTTTCTCGAGGGATTTGTTTGCTGATGTCATGAGCGTGCACAATAGGACTATGAAGCACGCTCGTGTAATTGAATTTGATTAGACAAATTTACTAGCTATGTTATAAATACCATTGTTAAACCTGATGGTGACGTAATTTTTCTTTAATTTAATTAAGGTCAAACCTCGTGCTCGAGGTGGTTTCAACCTGCGCGGGCTCCACGCGGTGTAGGAAACCAACGGGTTTTCCTTTCGGTTTTTCAGTCCTCTGAGATAGGTTTTCGAAACTGAAACTTACTGAGAGAGCACTTTCAATCTCCTAACAAATGATTTCATCACGCCCTATTTGAGGATACTACCCAAGAGGGGGACAGCCCAAAGACAAACACAAGACTCTTGGCCAGTCAAGGCGAGAGTTTTTATTTAGAGGATTTCCCAGGTAAATCATATCGGTTTATGAAGAAGTTTTATGTCATTTGGCAATAGCATTAATAACCTCTTGATCTTCCTTGTTCTCTTCTATGATCCTAGCCAAGATGAAGGCAGGGCTAATTTTAACTGGCCCTCGCATAAATATGGATAATCCAATATTGAAGCAATAGCTACCATTATAAACCCTGATTTAAAATTTTAATTTGTTTCTAGTTTCTATGAGGACATGCAACCTTCCTGTGAAAACCACAATTTTTAAACTTGATAGACTTTCAAGGAGTAGAGGGGCTCCAAAAGGTATAGGTTAGGGAAAAGTTTTTATTTTAGTTTTTCATTCGTGAGGGAAAGATCCCTAGAAACCGAAAGTTGCTGAAAGAGCACTATGAAACTTTGATTAACCCACCCCGTCAGGGGGGTTTTCCCCCAGGGGTACACCTTATGAACACCCTGACGTGCTCCTGGCCAATCAGGTCCAGAGAATTGTTGTGGGGGATTACCCAAGTAAATGGCGTTCTATATGAATAAGTGATCAGCTCTCAACAATTTGACGCATTTAATGGTGGTCAACTTCACGAGTATTACGAGACCATCGAGAGAAAGAAATAGTTTTATCCACCATGGCAGATAATCTTCTTCCCCAAGGAGATGACGTAGCTCAGCAATCACATAATAGCTTTGGACCACTTTCCGAGCTTCGTGGAAATATTGCTACGATCACATCAGCTATCGTGATTGTGGTTAGTGGCACGATGCTTTTGTTCGCAGCGAAGGATAACAAAAAGAGAGAAGGGATTGATTTCCTGGTGTTTACAACAGCCTTGCTTATCTTGGGTGTCGTTCTCGGAGAAATAGTACGAAGATTGTGCCTTGTGTCCGAAGAGATTAAACACAAGCACGAGAGATATCGAGGAAACTGGAAGGATATTTGCAAGAGGACTTTAACTTTCAATAATTCCGGTAGTATTTTAGTCGTTGCCATCGCTCTGTTCCTTGTTGGCAGTCGACAGCTCTCTCCCGTAGAGACATCGGATTTGAACGAAAAAGAAAACAAGAATGTGGCTGATGGGCTGGCTTGGAGCTACTACTTTGGGTATCTCAAGCTGGTGCTGCCAAGATTGGGATATCGTATTTCCGAATCGGACACATTTCGTCATAAGATTACAGACGAAAAGCTTTTCATTTTACTTCCAAAAACGTGCTATGCATTTGAAGAAATATCCAAAGCAGATGACAGGGTAAAATGGGCCGGCAAACTTCCCGCGAGTAAAATTAACAGGGCTGGAATTTTGGAGAGAAGTTACCAGCATGCGGTACACCGCATAGAGATGCCCCGCCCAGATGGAACAGTGGAAGAGTACCACTTTGTCTTGGAGTACGCTACGCCTCTTATGTCCCTGTGCGAAATGTCTGGTCATGCAAAGGCCCCTTTGACTGGTCCAGAGCGGGATCAACAGGTGAACAAGTGTGATCTGTTATGTGATTTTAGATATATGATAACAAATATTTGTTCTTAGAATTTCTTTTTGAGGTAGTTTTTTTTAATACCCTTTTTTTTAACCCTTTAACTCCCAAGATCTGATTGTTTATTCCCCTTTCTAGCTTATACACATTTCCTAGTAAATAAGTAACAAGAATTTGGCATTAAATCAAGATAACAACTTCTATCTGATAAGTTTGAGTATTCTCATTAACTGTTTGCTGGATAATGTATAGATATTATGTAGAGAAGTTATGGGTTAATCACTACTTAGAGCTGAAGGGTTAAGCTAATGCTTACACCAACTGAAACCATTTTCATTGTAACCTAGGTGGTGTTATTCATCCATAAGCTGAGGGAAATTTTGGATGACGCTGAGGAATGCAGAGGAAAGTATGAATTGGTTCCAATTTCAGGAAATGACACAAACAAGATTGCGGATGTCCTTGTGGGAATGCACAGTGCAACCAACATAGATTAAGAAGGGGAGACCGATGAGCAAACTAGGCAATAGAGCAAATATGTGCCTGCTGCTCCACAGCAACAGTATGGACAACAAAGGAACTCTTGTTATACATTGCACATGTATAGAGCTGTGTTTCTGAGTGTTAAGAAACACAGTGTCAGACCCTGAGAGGCCAAAAATTGATTATTTGTACTCTTAAGCTAGAAAGCAAGCATCCTAATGTAACTTAATATGTGCTCCAGTCCTTTCCTGGGCTTGATAGCTCAAGGCTTTGAGTTGTTTTGAATTCTTTAACCTCTGACATCTTGCAGATTTATGTTGATTGTGTTTTGAAAACATTCAAAGGAACAGCCTTTAATTTGTGTATGTAGAGAAGTTTATAGCTAAATTTAATTAACTCTTCCCTGTTGCCTAGCAGATGACACAGTTTGTAGTGAGCCCTTTATAGGATAGTAAAGTAAACATGATTAGAGGTTTATAAAACATGCTGAATAGTTTAGTTTTTCTCATTTTTCATTTGTCTTGCTTTGTTCTGTGAAATACTTGAACTGATGATTGTTGTGCTCTTATTCTGTAAACATATTAATTATCCCTTTACATCTTTATATCAGTATGCATATTCTTCATACTGTTGTTAATTAAACTTTTCCTTTGGTACTGACAAGGAGAATCTTTGTTTCAATCACAGCTTTTTAGTTTGGCAATCATTTCCTTTACTTCCATGGTCTTTCTAATAAATATATCAGTGGTACTACTCTAAGGAGAAATTAGATACTTGTCACTCTAGGATCTAACAGGTTAAAAAAATAAAACTTGCCACAAAGCACTTGTGTGTTAACTTTGACTGTACTAGAACACCAGTACCTATAAGTTTGGGAAAAATTATAACCAACAACTTTGGTGCTTCTTTGAAGGAGAGTCTTCCCCCTTTGAGCTTTGCCACAGCTTTCAATTTTTTGTCGTTGTTTCAAATCAGAGGTTCTCTCAATTGCAGAATAAACTACAAAGATTTCACCATGGACAGTTACAAAACTGCTAAGAAAAAAAAACACTCAGGGAAGGCCTTAGTGATCAAGTCGCCTAAACTGTAAAACTGGTTTGAAAGAATTCATAGGGAGATCCCCTCTAAATCATGCAAGTATCCAAAGTATTCTTTTGTGTAGAATATGTTTAAAAATATCCCTAATTGCACTCCTCACACAGAGAGGATTTTGTTCAGAATCACCTTCCCCCATCCATCAATCACAAGAGATGTCATTCCCCTATCCAATTCCAAAAGGCCCTCCAAGAGTGGGTTGGAAATTTCTTGGAGCCACAAACAGAGGACAGGTTTTCGATTCAACTTCAGTCTGTAGCAATTTAACTCCCCTGATACAGATCCCAGGTTTACTTATGGCCAGTGATGTTCCTGAGAAATAATGAAGCAAATTTATAAATAAGCGGCACACCAAGAATAATCCTCCTTGTGATTAATTGAATACCTTTGGTCTCAACGAGCCCAATGTTTTCCACTTGACCATGGGGTTTAGTTATCAATAATTTGATTACAACATCAAAGCCCCTATGTAAAGTTCAAATTATTAATTATTAGAAAAAGAATATGAATTTGAATGTCATTAATAATAACAACAGTCAAGGATCGAGATAGTTCTTCTCTCTTTAGCTGGACAATAACCTAGACAGAGAGAAAAAGCTGAAATAATTTTTCTTTAAATTGAATCACGGTCTTTACACATGATGTGAGAACCACCTCGTGCTCGAGGTAGTTTCAACCTAAGGAGGCTCCACGCGGTTTAGGAAACCAACCCATTCTCCTTTTGGTTTAACATTCCTCCGGAAAAAGGTTTTCGAAACTGAAACTTGCTGAGAGAGCACTTTCAATCTCCGAATTTCCCCTCGCGGGGGGAAGTCCAAAGACACTCTCAAGACTCCTGGCCAATCAAGGTCATGCAGAGTTTTTATCTAGGGGATTCCCGAAATAAATCATGTCGGGAGTCAAATCGATCTGCCTTCCCCAGTTTAACGTATTTCTTTGTGACCATCTTTACGAGTACGTAAATTCTGCGTTTAGGAGGAAATATTATATACACCATGGCTGAAAATCGTCTTCCTCGAGGAGATGACTTAGCTCAACAAGAAAATAATGGCTTTGGACCACTTTTCAAGTGTCGTGGGAAAACTGCTACTGTCACTTCAGCTATTATGGTTGTGATAAGTGGCGCGACGCTATTCTTCGCGGTGAAAGATAAAGAGAAGGAGTTTCATTTCCTGGTGTTTACAGCTGCCCTGCTTACCCTCAGTTTTGTTTTCGGTGAATTATTTCGAAGGTTGTCCCTGTTGTCTGAGGAGTTCAAACACAAACGCACGAGATATCAAGGAAAGTTGAAGGGTATTTTTAAGACCACTTTCACTTTCGATTATGGCAAGTGTATTTTAGTCGCTGCTATCGCTTCCGCTCTCATATTATGTTATCAGTTGTATGAACAATACGAAGTTTTCTCTCGCCCAGAATTCGCCATTTTGTTTTTTCTGAACTGTTTCGTGACTCCGCAGTTGTTGTACCTTGTGGGTCTCCGACAGCTCTCTCCTGTGGAAACATCAGATTTAAACGAAAAAGAAAACAAGAATGTGGCTGATGGGCTGGCTTGGAGCTACTACTTTGGTTATCTGAAGCTGGTACTGCCAAAACTGAAAGATCAGATTGGCAGATCGGAGCTTTTTCGTTATGAAATAACAAGGAAAAAGCTTTTCATTTTACTGCCCAAAACGTGCTTCACTTGTGCTGACATCAAAGACGCAGACCCCAGGGTAAAATGGGTCGGTAATCTCCCAGAGCTTAAAATTAGTAGGGGTGGAATTAAGGAAAGAATTTACAAGCATTCGGTACATAAGATAGAAATGCCCCGCCCTGATGGAACAGTAGAAGGGTACCACTTTATCTTGGAGTATGCCACACCTCTGATGTCCCTTTATGATATGTCTGAGCATGCAGACGCCCCCTTAAATCGTGAGGAGCGGGATCATCAGGTAGGCTAGTTTCTAGTATTTTCCCTTTGATTTTCAAGGTGGAAGAGAATCCTGATCTGATTACCACAAACAATATTGTGGCTGATCCCTGGGTAATTGGGTCAATTTCTGCTGTGTATATGCCACTGGCCTCTTAGAAACCCCCCCCCCCCAACCCATAATAATCTATTCTGTGGTCATTTGTAGATCCCATCTAAGGTGCTTTTAAGTGAATGTTACTTTCACCTTCCCAACTTAGTCACTTTCTGTTTTATGTATCTGCCTTAGAAAGCCTTTTAAGTAGCTCATCTTAAAATGAATTGACTCATTTAACCATGAATCTTCCCAATTGGCCATACATTGTCTCACCCCAAAATCTGGAAGAGTGCAACCCCATTGTTGGAACTACATTGAAATTGCAAACCCATTATTAAATAGTAAATCCAGCAGTGAAAATGCAAGCCATCCAGTAGCACATCCCCATTAGCCTTTTATTAGGAAGTACCCCCCCTCCCCCCCCTTAGGACTGGTCCTCATAAATATGATTTGTTTGAGGTGGGATGCACATCTAACTGGAACTTCTCTTCATTTTTACTTATAGGTGGTGTTATTCATCCAAAAATTGAGGGAAATTCTGGATAACTCCGAAGAGTGCAGAGGGACTTATGAATTAGTGCCAATTTCAGGAAATGATCCAAATGAGATTTCAAATGTCCTGATTGGGATGCATAATGCTGCCAACATTGAGATGCACAATCCAGAAGCTAATGGAGTGCACAGACCAGAACAAGAACAGCTCTAAACAAAATAATGCTAATGTGGTGTAGCAAGAAACTCAGTCTGTAATGTTGTACACATAAGTTCCTGATATTTTACAGGACCTGCAATATAGTAAATGAAATATTTCTTTTCTGATGCATGTAGGAATGAGGAGCCTTTGAAGGGGCAAAGATGTTGATTACAAATCTTTATCTAAATCTTGTGGCTTATACTTTTATTTCACCCATAATAGATACCACTTGATGTTGGTTAAGGAGACTAACATTGTTTTTTAGAGAGGGTAGCAAAGGGACAGTCCTCATCTTGCAGATTTATGTTGATTGTGTTCTGAAAACATTCAAAGGCACAGCCTTTAATTTGTGTAAGTGGAGAAGGCTATAGCCTAATTTATTTTGCCCTTCCTTATAGCCAAGCAGATTACATAATTTGTAGTGAGCCCTTAGTGGGATAGTAACGTAAACATGAACAGAGATTTATAAAACAGGCTGAATAGTTTAGTTTTTCTCAATTTTCATTTTTCTTTGCTTTGCTCTGTGAAATACTTAAATTGATGATTGTTGTGCTCTTATTCTGTAAACATTTTAATTAAACCTTTACACCTTTATATCAGTATGCATATTCTTCATACTGTTCTCAATTACACATTTCCTTACAAGGAGAATTTGTGTTTCAATCACAGCTTTTTAGGTTGGCAATCATTTCCTTTCATGGTTTTTATAATAAATATTTCAGTAGTACTGCTTTAAGGAGAAATTAGATTCTTGTCACTCTTAGGATTGAAAGGGTTAAAAATAAAACTTACCACAAAGCACCTGTGCGTCAGCTCTGACTGTACTAGAACACCATTACTTATAAGTTTGGGAAAAATTATAACCAACAACTTACAATACAATACAAGTGTACAATATTTATTTGCCATATACGACATTTACAAATGGAAAAAAAAATGAAGAAAATTGATGACAGAAAATAAATGGCGAGAAAACCTGAAAGAAACCACGAGGCTTATAACAAGTCAGGCTTTCTCACTTAAAATAACTAATCTTATATATTTAGAATTACAATATGGACTTATGATTATTAACTTTGACCGCGCACACGTACACACACACACACGCACACACATATTAAGTAAGTTAGTTAAGAATTACTGCCTTACAGAAGTTAATACCTAGAGAGAAGAAATTCCTTAAGCTTTCTTTTAAAAGAAGCGGAGGAGGGAGAACTACTTATGTCAGAATTTAGCGAATTATAAAAGTTTGGACCTTGAAAGTAAATTGAAAACTTCCTGATGTTCGTTCTGCACAGTGGCAAACGGAAGGACTGAGCATTCCTAGTATTATAATTGTGGATTTGACTATTCAGTAAAAAAAAGTTATTGAATTTGGAAGGGAGTGTAGAGTTCTCGAATGAAAACATAAAAGTACCTAATTGAAACGAATGGATATCATGAAATTTTAGGAGTTTAAGTTCCTTAAAAATAGGGCCAGTATGGGCAATGTATGTAGAATTGCTTGCTATTCTTAACGCACGTTTCTGTAAGGTTACAATTCTTTGAAGGTTTGACTTATAGGTACCAGCCCATGCTAAATTGCAATAATACAAATATGGAAGGATCATAGAATTGTATAAAGTACGAAGGGAGTGAGTAGAGAGAAAAAACCTAGATTTATGAATAATACCTATAGATTTGGATAATTTATTTGCTGTTAAGGATATATGTGATTTCCAGGTCAAATAAAACACCCAAAAACATGGTCTCAGAAACACGAAGAATAGGCTGCTCATTTATGAAAACTTGAAATTCAAAGGATTGCTTCTTTTGCCAAGGCTTGAATACCATAAAATTAGTCTTGGCTAAATTCAAGGAGAGCCGGTTTGCTGCAAACCAGGTTGACAATTTGTTTAATTCTCTATTTAATGTGTTAATTAGGTAAACAGGATCATTATGGGAGATAAATAAGTTTGTATCATCAGCAAACAAGATTGTATCAAGCAGGGGAGCATTGTTCAAATCATTAACATACAGGATAAAAAATAAGGGACCAAGAATAGAACCTTGAGGCACCCCACAGGGAATCCCCTGTGGGGCAGATCTAACGTTATTAAATTCGACAAATTGTGTCCTCTCAGAAAGATAACTTTGGACCCATTCTAGTGCCAGACCACGGATCCCATAATGATTGAGTTTGTCAAAAAGAATGTCGTGATTTACCGTATCGAATGTGTCGTGATATTGCGTTACACGGTCACGCCACTGGGCCGATGAACATCTTTATATTTAGAAGACTTGGGAGACAACGAATACACACGTGGCGGCAGTCGAGTTCGCACAATAAACAACCCTTTTGAGTTCACAGAATCGTGACAGAATGCTTTCGAAAGATCTAGGAATACTCCAATGGCAAGTTCTTTTCTATCAAATGCAGAAGAATTTTTGTCACACAAATCGATAAGCGCAAGGCTAGGAGAGCGATTTTTTCTAAAGCCATATTGATTATCACATAAGACATCGGAGTCATTGAGATAATTTATAATACGGTTGTAAATTATTCGTTCCAAAAACTTTGAAAAGCACGGTAGAACAGAAATAGGTCTGTAGTTGCTGAAGAGAGCTTTGTCACCTGATTTGAAAAATAGGTATGACACGAGCAATTTTAAATTCATCCGGAACGATACCATGAGTAATGGAGAGATTTACAATGTGTGTTAATGTAGAGGAAACGCTGCATATAGATCGCTTTATGATAGACATAGGGATATTGTCATACCCAGCCGATTTTCCCGCCGGAAACGTAGATGCGATATCTATAATCTCCTCCTGAGTTGCTAAATTAAGGAACATTGACTGAGGAAAATGACCAGGAAGAAAATTCTTATACGAGGTCGTAGATTGAATTCGTTTAGCGAGGTTTGGTCCAATATTGCTGAAGTAATGACAAAATCGATTAGCAATCTCCATTGGGTCAGAAATATCTTGATCATCAACCTTAGACACAGAGTTGGGTTTAGGTCTCAATTTCTTGCTGTTTAGGACCTCATTAAGCAGACGCCAAGTGGCTCTTATATTGGATTTTGACTCGCTTAGCCTCTTATCATAATATAAACGTTTCGCGATTTGTAGGGAGTGATCCAGTTTGTTCTTATATGTTTTATATTGTTTTGGTTGAAGGAGGTTCCCTCCCTCCTTCAAGCTTTGCTACAGGTTTAAGTGTTTTTTGTTTCAAGCCAGAAGTTCTCTTATTTGTAGAATAAGCTACCAAGATTTTACTATGGAAAAGTCTTAGTTACAAATCAATCACTGCTAAGACACTCAGGGAAGGCCTTAGTGCTCCTTAATTGTAAAACTGGTTTGAAAGAATTCTTAGGGAGATTCCCTCTTCATCTTGCAAGTACCCATTTGTGTGTGTGTGTGTGTGTAGAATATGTTCAAATACCCTTATTTGCACCCCTCACACAGAGAAGATTATGTTAAGAATTCACTTCCCCATCCCTCAGAGAAGATATAATTCCTCTACAAATACAATTGAGCTTTTAGAATGCTCACCTTATCCCATTCCAAGTGGCCCTCCAAGGGTGGGTGAGGAAATTTCCAAGAGCCACAAACAGTGAACAGGTTTTCAGTTCAACTTCATTCTGTGGCAATTCAACCCCCCTCATGCAGATCCCAGGATTACTTAAGGCTGGTGGTGTTCCACTGGGTAGGTTCAACAGTGGAGGAATAATGGGGCGAATTATAAATAAGCTGCACACCAAGAATTGCAAGATCCCTGCCCACTAAATGTAATACATTTCACTGTATGCTTTCAGTCTTTGTATGCCCCTGTATGATATTTTGTCTCTCCGAAAAGAAGATTGGTCAGGTAAACAAACTAATTGCCTTCTTGGCAAGCATTGTTATGAAATCTACTTCTTCCTTGTAATTAATTGAATACCCTTGGTTTGGACGAGCCCAATGTTTTCCACTTCACCACAGGCTGTAATTATCAATAAATTTTACTGCAACGCTAAAAACCACATGTGCAAAATTCAAATTAGCAGCTATTGGAAAAAGAATATGAATCTCAATGTTACTAATAATGATATAAGTCAAGGATCGTGATAGCACGTACTTCTTTTATCCAGTACTGTTCTTAAGATAGACAATAACCTAGACCCTGACTGACATTCTTTATCCAGATCCTATTATCTTCTTACAGAAACACAGGACACCCAGGTTTTAGATTTTTTATCTATCCTTGTAACTTGACCCGAACAAGTCAACGATAACTATCAATCCAGAGAGAGCTGGTAAATTGTGTGGGAATTACTCCTCAATGACAAAGTACGATATCGGTTCATGATTGCACTCGCAGTCTGCCGTTGCTACTTTTCGCCACTTAGTCTTTATCGTCGTTGAAATAACAATCAAGACGTTTCGTGCCATTTACATCGCAAAGTGGCGTGTGTTTCACGCAAGTTGTGTAAAAGTATGGATGGGTGCTTTTCCTGAAGGAACGCGGAAATATGATCCCATTTGGCACTAAAGTAAAACGGCCCCTCGATGCTCCTCGGTGAACCAAACCTGAATAAAGCCTGAATATGGCAGAGCTATCTCCAGCAAGCTAATGTTAACTGTTCTCCATATTAGTGGTGGTATTGGAATTCAAGCGAGCTGAGAATAGCATTGTTAAGCCTGATGGTGAAGTAATTTTTCTTTAAATTTAATCACGGTCATCACACACTATGTGAGAACCACTTCGTGCGCGGGGTGGTTTCAACCTGTGGGGGCTCCACACGGTGTGGGAAACGAACGCGTTTCCTTTCGGTTTTTCCTACTTCTGGGAAAGGTTTTTCGAAACTGAAAGTTGCTGAGAGAGCACTTTCAATCTCTGAACAAATAATTCCATCACGCCCTGTTTTGGGCCTTTTCCCTGGTGGACACCCTCAAAGTGCCTGGGACACGAACTTTTTTTTCTTTTTTGCCTAAATATTTAGCTTATCATATGAACAAACCAATTCCGATAGAAGAAAAACTTTAAAAAAATTAAAACTCGGCTTCTACGGGCCCTAAAGTGCTCCTATTTTGTCTTCAAAGTGTCCCGTGGACTGGTAACGAATTAGCGGGTGATGACGTAAAAACTGTGAAACCTCTCAGTTGACACCGACAATTCTCTCACGTCTCATGTAATTTGCATCAGTCAGCGTTGAAATACTCTTGAAATAATGTTCGATAGTAATGTATAACTACCTTTCTTGCCTGCGGTGTTTAGGTCAAGATTGGAACAAAAAATTCCCATTACTAAATGTTTAGTTTGCTGCGGTTGTCTTTTGTTTTCTATTGCAGAATCTATGTTAAGAATGGGTAGCTGTGCTCGTTTCTGTTGCCTTAACATTTTATTCGTTCCTACTATGTGCAGCAACAGTTCCCTTCGGTCGGTGCTCTTGAATTTTATTGCTATAGAGAAAATCCCTTGGTAAACCAAAAGCTAACTTCAGACGAAAGAATCAGCTGTATTACTGGGCACAATGATTTTACACCGAAAAGTCATCAGGCAGTTACACAATGATATTGCTACTGTTGCTACTTTTAGTTTCTTGAGGGCAGGGGGGGGGATTGATGGCTCGTGGGATGGATTTTCGGAAACCTAGGTTAGAAGAATACATGGCCCCTTCGAGCTTGTGTTTAAGCAAGAGGTTTCGCACTG